CCCCACCCACGCCCCCACGCCCCCCGTGCCCCCCGCACCCTCCGCTGAGCGCCCTGCGCCGGTCGTAGAGGTCGAAGAGGTGCGCTCGGGGTCCCAGCGTGGCGGCGGCGGCGGCGGCGGCGACGAGAGCCATCAGCGCCAGCTTCACCAGGTGGCTCAGCTGCACCAGCAGCAGCGCCGCCACCAGCGCCAGCACCCACGCGTGGCTCCAGTACGGGGGGTGCTCCGCGCAACCCCGGCCGGCAACGGGAACCGCTCCGGGAACTGGAGCCGCCCCGGCACCGCCTCGGGCATCACCGGGACCGACCCCCGGCACCGCCCCGGGCATCGCCGGGACCGCCTCGGGCATCACCGGGACCGACTCGGGCATCGCCGGGACCGCCCCGGGCATCGCCGGGACCGCCTCGGGCATCGGGACCCACAGCCACGAGGAGTTGGGGAACGTGTCACCCACACAGCTGAGCTGGGAGGAGAGGGACGGTCAGGGAAAAAAGGGAAAAGAAGGGGAAAAAGGGAAAAAAGGGGAGGGAAGGGAAAAAAGGGGAGGGAAAAAAGAAGGGAAGGTTTGGGAAGGTTTGGGAAGGTTTGGGAAGGTTTGGGAAGGTTTGGGAAGGGAAGGGAAGGGAAGGTTTGGGAAGGTTTGGGAAGGTTTGGGAAGGGAAGGGAAGGGAAGGGAAGATGAAGGAAGGGAAAGGGGAGGGAAGGAAAGAGGAAAGGAAGGAAAAGGGGAGGAAAGGAAGGAAAAGGGGAGGAAAGGAAGGAAAAGGGGAGGAAAGGAAGGAAAAGGAGAGGAAAGGAAGGAGAGGAAAAGAGAAGAAAGGGGAGGGAAGAGAAAAAGAGGAAAGTGGAGGGAAAAGAGAAGGGAGGGAAGGGGAGGAGAAAGGAAGGAAAGGGGAGGAGGGAAAGAAAGAGGAGGAAACAGAAAAAGGAGGAAAAGGGGAAAAAAGGAGAGGAAAAGGGAAGGGAAGGAAAGGGAGGGAAAGAGAGAAAAAGGGAGGGAAAGGGAGGAGAAGGGAGGGAAGGGAAGAAAAGGGGAGGATAAGACAGAGGAAGAGAAAAAAGGGGAAAAATGGAAGAAAAGGGGAGGAAAAGGGAGGGGAAGGAGAGCAGAAGGGAGGCCGTGGGGGTCTCACCATGTCGATGGTGTGGGCGGCAGTGACGATGCCGATGGCGGCGGCGGCCCACGCGTTGCGCGCCCAGCGCGTGCGGTCGATCCACGTGGAGAAGGACACCAGCCTTTTGGGGAACACCTGCAGGGAGGGTAGGCCTTGGGGGGACACCTTCTTTCCCTCCTCTTTTCCTCCCTTTCCCTCTTTTCCTTCCCTCCCTTTTCCTCCTTTCCCCTCTCTTTCCCTCCCCTTCCCTCTCTTTCCCTCTCTTCTTCTTCCCTCTCTTTTCCTCCCCTCCCTTTTCCCCCCCTTTCTTCCCCTTCCCTTCTCTTCCTTTCCTCCCTTCTCCTTTTCTCTCTCCTTCCTTTTCCTCCCTTTCCCTTCCCTTTTCCTCCCCTCCTTTTTTCTCCCTTTCCCCTCCCCTCCCTTTTCCCCTTCCCTTCCCTTCCCAAACTTTCCCTTCCCTTCCCTTCCCAAACTTTCCTTCCTTCCTTCCCTTCCCCTTCCTTCCCTTCCCTTCCTCTTCCCTTCCCTCCCCTTCCTTCCTTCCCTTCCTTCCCTTCCCTTCCCTTCCTCTTCCCTTCCCTCTCCCTTCCCAAACCTTCCCAAACCTTCCTTCCCCAAACCTTCCCTTCCCAAACCTTCCCTTCCCAAACCTTCCCTTCCTTCCCTTCCCCAAACCTTCCTTCCCCTTCCCTCCCCTCCTCCTTCCTCCTCCCTCCCTCCTCCTCACCCTTGGGAACAGGGCTGCCAGGGAGCAGAGGGTCAGCAGGAGCAGCAGCGCCTCCCCCACCGCGAAGGTCACGTAGTTGGCCACCAACCTGCGCAGCCCCCCCAGAACGAAACCACCACAAAACACCAACGAACCCCCAAAAACCGCGTCGGACCCGCCCCTCCCCGCTCCCCCTTCCCCCCTGCCCACGCCGTGCCGCCCTGGGCGGGGTGGGCTCACCAGGGGTCGCGCAGGGCGTGGAGGAGGGCGGTGAAGAGGAGGACGAGGCAGGAGCAGCCCAGGGCGGCCCCGCTCTGCTTCTCCCGCTCCAGCGCGTAGCGGCTCTCCATGGCCGCGTCCCGGAACCGCAGCGACAGCGGGAACGTGCTGCGACCCTTCAGCCTGCAAGAAAATTGTGGGGTTAGAACTGCAGTGACAGCGGGAACGTGCTGCGACCCTTCAACCTGAGGGGACATTGTGGGGTTAGAACAGTGACAGCGGGAACGTGCTGCGACCCTTCAACCTGAGGGGACATTGTGGGGTTAGAACAGCGACCCTTCAGCCTGAGGGGACATTGTGGGGTTAGAACAGTGACAGCGGGAACGTGCTGCGACCCTTCAACCTGTGGGGAGATCATCACAGTGGGGTCAGAACAGCGACAGCGGGAACGTGCTGCGGCCCTTCAGCCTGAGGAGACATTGTGGGGTCAGAACAGCGACCCTTCAGCCTGAGGGGACATCATTACAGTGGGGTCAGAACAGCGACAGCGGGAACGTGCTGCGACCCTTCAGCCTGCGGGGACATCATTACAGTGGGGTCAGAACAGCGACAGCGGGAACGTGCTGCGACCCTTCAGCCTGTGGGGAGATCATCAGTACAGTGGGGTCAGAACAGCGACCCTTCAGCCTGCGGGGACATTGTGGGGTTAGAACAGTGACCCTTCAGCCTGAGGGGACATTGTGGGGTCAGAACAGCGACAGCGGGAACGTGCTGCGACCCTTCAGCCTGTGGGGAGATCATCAGTACAGTGGGGTCAGAACAGCGACCCTTCAGCCTGCGGGGACATTGTGGGGTTAGAACCGCAGCGACAGCGGGAACGTGCTGCGGCCCTTCAACCTGTGGGGACATTGTGGGGTTAGAACCATGGGGTCAGAACAGCGACAGCAGGAAAGTGCTGCGACCCTTCAGCCTGAGGGGACATTGTGGGGTCAGAACAGCGACAGTGGGAACGTGCTGCGACCCTTCAACCTGCGGGGACATTGTGGGGTCAGAAAAGCGACAGCGGGAACGTGCTGCGACCCTTCAACCTGCAGGGACATCATTACAGTGGGGTCAGAACAGTGACAGCGGGAACGTGCTGCGACCCTTCAACCTGCGGGGACATTGTGGGGTTAGAACAGTGACCCTTCAGCCTGAGGGGACATCATCATTATAGTGGGGTCAGAACAGCAACAGCGGGAACGTGCTGCGACCCTTCAGCCTGCGGGGACATTGTGGGGTTAGAACAGTGACCCTTCAGCCTGAGGGGACATTGTGGGGTCAGAACAGCGACACCGGGAACGTGCTGCGACCCTTCAGCCTGAGGGGACATTGTGGGGTTAGAACAGCGACAGCGGGAACGTGCTGCGACCCTTCAGCCTGCAAGAAAATTGTGGGGTCAGAACAGCGACAGCGGGAACGTGCTGCGACCCTTCAGCCTGCAAGAAAATTGTGGGGTTAGAACTGCAGTGACAGCGGGAACGTGCTGCGACCCTTCAGCCTGCAAGAAAATTGTGGGGTCAGAACAGCGACAGCGGGAACGTGCTGCGACCCTTCAGCCTGCGGGGACATTGTGGGGTCAGAACAGCGACCCTTCAGCCTGAGGGGACATCATTACAGTGGGGTCAGAACAGTGACAGCGGGAACGTGCTGCGACCCTTCAGCCTGAGGGGAGATCATCAGTACAGTGGGGTCAGAACAGCGACAGCGGGAACGTGCTGCGACCCTTCAGCCTGTGGGGACATTGTGGGGTCAGAACCATGGGGTCAGAACAGCGACAGCGGGAACGTGCTGCGACCCTTCAGCCTGAGGGGACATTGTGGGGTCAGAACAGTGACAGCGGGAACGTGCTGCGACCCTTCAGCCTGAGGGGACATTGTGGGGTCAGAACAGTGACAGCGGGAATGTGCTGTGACCCTTCAACCTGCAGGGACATCATTACAGTGGGGTCAGAACAGCGACAGTGGGAACGTGCTGCGACCCTTCAGCCTGAGGGGACATTGTGGGGTTAGAACAGCGACAGCAGGAACGTGCTGCGACCCTTCAACCTGCGGGGACATTGTGGGGTCAGAACAGCGACAGCGGGAACGTGCTGCGACCCTTCAGCCTGTGGGGACATTGTGGGGTTAGAACCATGGGGTCAGAACAGTGACAGCGGGAACGTGCTGCGACCCTTCAGCCTGCGGGGACATCATCATTGCAATGGGGTCAGAACCGCAGCGACAGCGGGAACGTGCTGCGACCCTTCAGCCTGCGGGGACATTGTGGGGTTAGAACAGCGACAGTGGGAACGTGCTGCGACCCTTCAGCCTGCGGGGAGATCATCACAGTGGGGTCAGAACAGTGACAGCGGAAACGTGCTGCGACCCTTCAACCTGTGGGGAGATCATCGGTACAGTGGGGTCAGAACCGCAGTGACAGTGGGAACGTGCTGCGGCCCTTCAGCCTGAGGGGACATTGTGGGGTCAGAACAGTGACCCTTCAGCCTGCGGGGACATTGTGGGGTCAGAACAGCGACCCTTCAGCCTGAGGGGACATTGTGGGGTTAGAACCACAGTGACAGCGGGAACGTGCTGCGACCCTTCAGCCTGAGGGGACATCATCATTGCAATGGGGTCAGAACAGTGACAGCGGGAACGTGCTGCGACCCTTCAGCCTGCGGGGACATTGTGGGGTCAGAACAGCAATAGTGGGAACATGCTGCGACCCTTCAGCCTGAGGGGACATTGTGGGGTCAGAACAGCAATAGTGGGAACATGCTGCGACCCTTCAGCCTGAGGGGACATTGTGGGGTCGCACGGAGTGGCAGCACAGGGGGACACTGGGGACAGAGGGGGGCACCGGGAACCGAGGGGGGGCACCGGGAGCTGCACCGGGATCCACAGATCCCTGAGAGGGGCTGTGGGGTGTTCTAGGGCAGTGTCCCCATGTGAGCTGTGGGGTGTTCTAGGGCAGTGTCCCCACTGTCCCTGTGGGGTGTGGGGTGTTCTAGGGCAGTGTCCCCACTGTCCCTGTGGGGTGTTCTAGGGCAGTGTCCCCACTGTCCCTGTCCTGTGGGCTGTTCTAGGGCAGTGTCCCCACTGTCCCTGTGGGGTGTTCTAGGGCAGTGTCCCCACTGTTCCTGTGGGGTGTTCTAGGGCAGCGTCCCCACTGTCCCTGTCCCTGTGGGCTGTTCTAGGGCAGTGTCCCCACTGTCCCTGTGGGGTGTTCTAGGGCAGCGTCCCCACTGTCCCTGTGGGGTGTTCTAGGGCAGTGTCCCCACTGTCCCTGTCCCTGTGGGGTGTTCTAGGGCAGTGTCCCCATATGAGCTGTGGGGTGTTCTAGGGCAGTGTCCCCACTGTCCCTGTGGGCTGTTCTAGGGCAGTGTCCCCACTGTCCCTGTGAGCTGTGGGGTGTTCTAGGGCAGTGTCCCACTGTCCCCACTGTCCCTGTGAGCTGTGGGGTGTTCTAGGGCAGTGTCCCCACTGTCCCCACTGTCCCTGTGGGGTGTTCTAGGGCAGTGTCCCCACTGTCCCTGTCCCTGTGGGGTGTTCTAGGGCAGTGTCCCCACTGTCCCTGCAGTGTCACCGGTTCCAGGGGCTCTGCTGAACTTTTCCCCCACCATTTTCTCATTCCCATCCACCCCACCCATTCCCGGTGGCGTTCCCAGTTCTGCCAGTTGGGATTTGCCACCCTCCCCTTTCCCCCTCCCCACTCCCAGCCCCTTATCCCAATTAACCCGCTCCCCACTCCCAGTCCCACATCCCAATTTCCTCCCTCCCCACTCCCAGCCCCTTATCCCGATTTTCCCATCCCCACTCTCATCCCCTTATCCCGTTTTTCCAGGTCCCCCTTCCCATTCCCGTATCCCATTTTCCCGTCCCCACTCACGCCTGGAAGGACTCCCAGTTTCCCCACTCCCATATCCCGATTTTCCCACTCCTGTATCCCAGTTTCCTCATTCCCGTATCCCATTTTCCCGTCCCCACTCATGCCTGGAAGGACTCCCAGTTTCCCTACTCCCCATATCCTGGTTTCCCCATTCCTGTATCCCAGTTTCCCCATTCCCATATCCCATTTTTCCTGTCCCCACTCCCGCCTGGAAGGACTCACGGTTTCCCCACTCCTTTATCCCGGTTTCCCCATTCCTGTATCCCGATTTCCTGGTCCCCACTCACGCCTGGAAGGACTCACGGTTTCCCCATTCCCGTATCCCAGTTTCCCCACTCCCGTATCCTGGTTTCCCCACTCCTGTATCCCGGTTTCCCCATTCCCACATCCCATTTTCCCGGTCCCCACTCACGCCTGGAAGGACTCCCGGTTTCCCCACTCCCATATCCCGGTTTCCCCATTCCCATATCCCGGTTTCCCCACTCCCGTATCCCGGTTTCCCCACTCCCGTATCCCGGTTTCCCCATTCCCATATCCCGGTTTCTCCACTCCCGTATCCCGGTTTCCCGGTCCCCACTCACGCCTGGAAGGACTCCCGGTTTCCCCCCTCCCGTATCCCGGTATCCCCATTCCCATATCCCGATTTCCCATCCCCACTCACGCCTGGAAGGACTCCCTCTCGAGCAGGGCCTCGTTGAGCAGCCTGTGCAGCTCCTGCTCGTTCTGTGCCGCGTCCATCACGCGCTCCGCCAGGTCCCGCAGGCGCAGCCGCCGGCGCGGGTTGGGGAACGACGGGTTCTCCGCCTGTGACACAGGACACGGACACGCCTGTCACCAACACGTGTGTAACAGCACCGCGGGCTGGGGAACGACGGGTTCTCCGCCTGTGACACAGGACACGCGTGTCAGCGGGGCATGGACACGTGTGTCACCAACACCTGTGTAACAGCACCGTGGGTTGGGGAACGACGGGTTCTCTGCCTGTGACACAGGGCACAGACACGTGTGTCAGCGAGGAATGGACACGCCTGTCACCAACACCTGTGTAACAGCACCGCGGGTTGGGGAATGACGGGTTCTCTGCCTGTGACACAGGGCACGGACACGTGTGTCACCAAGGAATGGACACGCCTGTCACCAACACCTGTGTAACAGCACCGCGGGTTGGGGAATGACGGGTTCTCTGCCTGTGACACAGGGCACGGACACGCGTGTCAGTGCAATGCGATACGCCTGTCACCACACCTGTGTAACAGCACCACGGGTTGGGGAACGACGGGTTCTCTGCCTGTGACACAGGGCACGGACACGCGTGTCAGTGGGGTACGGACACGCCTGTCACCAACACGTGTGTAACAGCACCGCGGGTTGGGGAATGACGGGTTCTCTGCCTGTGACACAGGGCACAGACACGTGTGTCAGCGGGGCATGGACACGCGTGGCACTGGCACCGCGGGCTGGGGAACGACGGGTTCTCTGCCTGCGACACAGGCACCAACATGCGTGTCACCAGGGCATGGACATGCATGTCACTGGGCCACGGACACACGTGTCACTGGGGCACAGGCACACGTGTCACTGGGGCACAGGCACACGTGGCACTAGCACCGAGGCATGGACATGCGTGTCAGCAGGGCACCGACATGCGTGTCAGCGGGGCACGGACACGCGTGTCACCAACACCTGTGTAACAGCACCACGGGTTGGGGAACGATGGGTTCTCTGCCTGTGACATGGGGCATGGACACGCGTGTCAGCGGGGCACGGACACGTGTGTCACTGGCACCGCGGGTTGGGGAACGACGGGTTCTCTGCCTGCGACACAGGCACCAACATGCGTGTCACCAGGGCATGGACATGCATGTCACTGGGCCACGGACACACGTGTCACTGGGGCACAGACACACGTGTCACTGGGGCACAGACACACGTGGCACTGGGGCACAGACACACGTGTCACTGGGGCACAGACACACGTGGCACTAGCACCGAGGCATGGACACGCGTGTCAGCAGGGCACCGACATGCAGGTCAGCGGGGCATGGAAACGCCTGTCACCAACACCTGTGTCACCAGCACCATGGGTTGGGGAATGATGGGTTCTCTGCCTGTGACACAGGGCACGGACACACGTGTGGCACCAGGGCATGGACACGCGTGCCACTGGGGCACAGACATGCGTGTCACCGGCACCGTGGGTTGGGGAACGACGGGTTCTCCTTCTGCAACGTGGGCACTGACACGCGTGTCAGTGGGGCACTGGGGTATGGACATGCGTGTCGCTGGCACCGGGGCATGAACACGTGAGTCACCGGCACCACGGGGCACAGACACGTGGGTCAGTGGCACCAGAGCACGGACACGCGGGTCACCGGCACCAGAGCACGGACACCCGTGTCACCACCATCCATGTCATGGCCACCCCGTGTCACCGCCATCCCGTTCACGGCCACCCCCAGGCACGGCCATCCTGTGTCACACCCACTCGTGTCACCACCATCCACATCACAGCCACCTCCATCAGGACCACCCCGTGTCACACCCACCCATGTCACACCCACTCGTGTCACCACCATCCACATCACAGCCACCTCCATCAGGACCACCCCGTGTCACACCCACCCGTGTCACACCCACCCGTGTCACCATCACCCTGTGTCATGGCCACCCCGTGTGGCCGCTGCAGGGAGCGGGGAATTCCCTTTGGGAATGTGAGTTCCCTTTGGGAATGTGAGTTCCCCCTGGGGATGTGAATTCCCCTTGGGGACGTCACCTCAATGTCATCGTCGTCGTCGCCGTCGCAGCCGTCGGGGCTGATGCTGAGGCGGCCGTTGCGCTCCTTGGCGGTGGCCACGGGCGGGGGGGTGACCACGGGCGGGGGGGTGACATCGGTGCCCTCCTTGGGGGTGACGTCGGGTGGGGGGGTGACATCGGCACCGGGGGTCGAGCTCAGCGACAGCTTCTGTGGGGACGGGGGAGGGACAGAGTGGGGTCACCAGAACCCATGCCGTGATGTCCCCATCCTGCTGTGGGTGTCCCCCCATCCCCTGGCTGTCCCTCCATGCTGTGGTGTCCCCATCCTGCTGTGGGTGTCCCCCCCATTCCCTGGGTATCCCCCCCATTCCCTGGGTGTCCCCATCCTGCTGTGGCTGTCCCCCCCATTCCCTGGGTGTCCCCCCCATTCCCTGGGTGTCCCCATCCTGCTGTGGCTGTCCCCCCCATTCCCTGGCTGTTCCCCCATGCTGTGGTGTCCCCATCCTGCTGTGGGTGTCCCCCCATCCCCTGGCTGTCCCCCCATGCCATGGTGTCCCCTGTGTCGTGCTGTCCCCCCATCCTGTGGTGTCCCCCATCCCGCTGTGTGTGTCCCCCCATCCCCTGCCTATCCCCCATCCCCTGCCTATCCCTCATTCCCTGCCTGTCCCCCCATCCCCTGCCTATCCCCTCATTCCCTGCCTATCCCCTCATTCCCTGGTTGTCCCCTCATGCCCTGGCTGTCCCCCATGCCCTGGCTGTCCCCCATTCCCTGCCTATCCCCCATTCCCTGACTGTCCCCCATGCCCTGTGTGTCCCCCCATGCCCTGGCTGTCCCCCCATGCTGTGGTGTCCCCATCCTGCTGTGGGTGTCCCCCCATGCCCTGGCTGTCCCCATCCTCTCACTCACAATGCCGTTGATGCCGCAGCACCACCACCAGGTAGGTGATGATGCTGTGGTGTCCCCCCATCCCCGTGGTGTCCCCCCATGCCCTGGCTGTCCCCATCCCCTCACTCACGACGCCGTTGATGCCGCGGCGCAGGGGCTGCCGGGGCACCACCACCAGGTAGGTGACGATGCCGTGCTGTCCCTCCATCCCCGTGGTGTCCCCCCATGCCCATGGTGTCCCCCATCCCCATGGTGTCCCCCCATGCCCCGGCTGTCCCCATCCCCTCACTCACGACGCCGTTGATGCCGCGGCGCAGGGGCTGCCGGGGCACCACCACCAGGTAGGTGACGATGCCGTGGTGTCCCCCCATGCCCATGGTGTCCCCCCATGCCCACTGGGGGTGTCCCCTCACTCACGACGCCGTTGATGCCGCGGCGCAGGGGCTGCCGGGGCACCACCACCAGGTAGGTGACGATGCCGTGGTGTCCCCCCATCCCCGTGGTGTCCCCCCATCCCCACTGGGGGTGTCCCCTCACTCACGACGCCGTTGATGCCGCGGCGCAGGGGCTGCCGGGGCACCACCACCAGGTAGGTGACGATGCCCCTCTCGCGCAGGTACTCGCAGCGGGACCCCCCTTCCCCCGGCTCCACCTCGAACTCGCCCCGCAGGCAGTCCAGGGTGCTCTGCGAGATGTGCACCCGCCTGGGGGGGACACAGACACCAGAAATCAGGGCTGGGGGCTGGGGGGGATCGTTTAATTCAGCGGTTAATCCGTTATTGGGGTGGAGAGCAACCTGATCAATTAATTCATTATTGGGGTGGAGATCAACCTGATTAGGTAATCCACTATTGGGGTGGAGATCAAGCTGATTGGTTAATTCATTATTGAGGTGGAGATCAATATGATCAATTAGTTCATTATTGGGGTGGAGATCAACCTGATTAGGTAATCCACTATTGGGGTGGAGATCATCCTGACTGGTTAATTCATTATTGAGATGGAGATCATCCTGATTGGTTAATTCATTATTGGGGTGGAGATCACTCCCATTGGTTAATTAATTATTTGAGTGGAGATCACACAATCAGTTAATTCATTATTGGGTGGAGATCACCGTGATTGGTTAATCATTTATTGGGGGGGAGATCAACCTGATTGGGTAATTATTTATTGGGTGGAGATCAGCCAATCAGTTAATTAATTACTGGGTGGAGATCAACCCTATTGGTAAAGTCATTATTGGGGTGGAGATCAACCTGATCCATTAATTAATTATTGGGGTGGAGAGCACCTCCACTGGGTAATTATTTATTGGGTGGAGATCAAGCTGATTGATTAATTCATTATTGGGGTGGAGATCACCCTGATCTGTTAATTATTTATTGGGGTGGAGATCAACCTGATTGGGTAATTATTTATTGGGTGGAGATCACTCTGATCTGTTAATTATTTATTGGGGTGGAGATCAGCCTGATTGGTTAATTCATTATTGGGGTGGAGATCAACCTGATTGGTTAATTATTTATTGGGTGGAGATCAACCTGATGGGTTAATTATTTATTGGGTGGAGATCAACCTGATGGGTTAATTATTGTGCTGGATCACCCAGATTGTTTAATTGATTATTGAACTGGATCACCCAGATCATTTAATTATTGTGCTGGATCAACCAGATCATTTAATTAATTACTGTGTTGGATCACCCAGATTGTTTAATTAATTATTGAGTTGGATCACCCAGATTGTTTAATTAATTATTGAATTAGATCACCCAGATAGTTTTCTTAATTACTGTGGTGGAGATCATCCTGATTGTTCAATTATTGTGCTGGATTAACCTGATTGTTTAATTAATTATTGTGGGAGGTCAACCAGATTGTTTAATTATTGTGCTGGAGATCAGAGTAATTAATTATTGAGTTGGATCACCCAGATTGTTTAATTAACTGCTGTTCTGGAGATCAACCTGATTATTTAATTATTTTGCTGGATTATATATAATATAATAATATAACATTATAATAACATAATGTAATTATAGATACTATGATAATTCTATATACAATTACATCATCATATATTTTCAATATATAATTGTTTATAGAATTCTATATAATTGTTTATAGAATTCTATATAATTATAAATAATTCTTTTTAATTATATAATATATATTATACATTATAATTATATTATATTATTTTTAAATTTAATTATATATTATATAGAGAAATATAATTATTATACATTTCTTGGACTTATTATTTATACAATATATAGAGTGTGCATTAGTTATTATATTACATATTATACTATACATATTATATTACTGTTTACATTCTATTTTTTTATTATTTTATATTACATTATATCATATTAGATATTATACCTTCTATATATTATATTATATTACATTATTGTTTATATTCTATTTTCATTATACTATATTCTATTTTTATTAGATTAGATTGGGTTATATGTTACATATGATATGTATTAAATTATTGCTTACATTATATATTATATATATTATATTATTGCTTACATTATATTTTTATTATATTATATATTATACATTATATATTGTTTATATTCTATTTTCATTATATTCTATTTTATTAGATTAGGTTATATATTACACATGATATGTATTATATTATTGCTTACATTATATTTTTATTACATTATATAGTATACATTATATATTATATTGTTTATATTTTTATTATATTATGTATTATACACGAGATATAATATTATTGTTTACATTCTATATTATATTATTGCTTACATTATATTATTACTATATATTATATTATAGTATAGTATAGTATATCATGTTACATTATATTGTATGACATTATATTATTGTTTACATTATATTCTTATTACACTATATTATACTATACTATATTATATTATTTACATTATATTATATTATACTATATTATAATATATATTATACTACATTATAATATATATTACACTACATTATATTCTGTTCTATTATATTCTATTCTATGATGTTGTATTGTTTATATTCCCACATGACATCACACATTATTGCTCACATAACATTCACCACCACCACATCAGTAACCTTCCCATGCATTTGCCACACTGGAATATTCCCCACCCACCTCCCTCCCATCCCGCCATTCCCAGCGGGAATGCTCACCCACCCGGCCCCGTCCATCGCTCCCATCCCGCCATTCCCAGTGGGAATGCTCACCCACCCAGCACCGTCCATCCCGCCATTCCCAGTGGGAATGCTCACCCACCCAGCCCCGTCCATCCCTCCCATCCCACCATTCCCTGTGGGAACGCTCACCCACCCAGCCCCGTCCATCCCTCCCATCCCGCCATTCCCAGCGGGAATGCTCACCCACCCAGCACCGTCCATCCCTCCCATCCCGCCATTCCCAGCGGGAATGCTCACCCACCCAGCCCCGTCCATCCCTCCCATCCCGCCATTCCCAGTGGGAATGCTCACCCACCCAGCACCGTCCATCCCTCCCATCCCGCCATTCCCAGCAGGAATGCTCACCCACCCGGGAATGCCACCGCATTCACCCACCCGGGAATGCCGCCGGCCTCCATCTTGTTGGCAAGGGTGACGTCAGTGGACCAGATGCCATCCTGCCAGCACTTCTGGCCCAGCACCCCGCCCAGCACCATCCATCCCTCCCATCCCACTATTCCCTGTGGGAACGCTCACTCAGCCAGCACCATCCCTCCCACCATTCCCAGTGGGAATGCTCCCTCACCCGGGAATGCCGCCGGCCTCCATCTTGTTGGCGAGGGTGACATCGGTGGACCAGACATCATACTGCCAGCGCTTCTGGCCCAGCACCCACCCATCCTTCCCATCCCACCATTCCCTGTGGGAACGCTCACCCACCCAGCACCATCCCTCCCATCCCGCCATTCCCTGTGGGAATGCTCCCTCACCCGGGAATGCCGCCGGCCTCCATCTTGTTGGCAAGGGTGACGTCAGTGGACCAGATGCCATCCTGCCAGCACTTCTGGCCCAGCACCCCGCCCAGCACCATCCATCCCTCCCATCCCGCCATTCCCAGTGGGAATGCTCACCCACCCAGCACCGTCCATCCCTCCCATCCCGCCATTCCCAGCGGGAATGCTCACCCACCCAGCACCATCCATCCCTCCCATCCTGCCATTCCCAGTGGGAATGCTCACCCACCCAGCACCGTCCATCCCTCCCATCCCGCCATTCCCAGCGGGAATGCTCACCCACCCAGTACCGTCCATCCCTCCCATCCCACCATTCCCTGTGGGAACGCTCTCTCACCCGGGAATGCCGCCGGCCTCCATCTTGTTGGCAAGGGTGACGTCAGTGGACCAGATGCCATCCTGCCAGCACTTCTGGCCCAGCACCCCGCCCAGCACCATCCATCCCTCCCATCCCACTATTCCCTGTGGGAACGCTCACCCACCCAGCACCATCCCTCCCACCATTCCCAGTGGGAATGCTCCCTCACCCGGGAATGCCGCCGGCCTCCATCTTGTTGGCGAGGGTGACGTCGGTGGACCAGACGTCGTACTGCCAGCGCTTCTGGCCCAGCACCCCGCCCAGCACCATCCACCCTTCCCATCCCACCATTCCCTGTGGGAACGCTCACCCACCCAGCACCGTCCATCCCGCCATTCCCTGTGGGAATGCTCTCTCACCCGGGAATGCCGCCGGCCTCCATCTTGTTGGCGACGGTGACGTTGGTGGACAACACGTCATCCTGCCAGCCCTTCTGACCCAGCACCCCGCCCATCCCTCCCATCCCGCCATTCCCTGTGGGAATGCTCACCCACCCAGCACCGTCCATCCCTCCCATCCCACCATTCCCAGTGGGAATGCTCCCTCACCCGGGAATGCCGCCGGCCTCCATCTTGTTGGCAAGGGTGACGTCGGTGGACCAGACGTCGTACTGCCAGCACTTCTGGCCCAGCACCCCGCCCATCGCTCCCATCCCGCCATTCCCAGCGGGAATGCTCACCCAGGAACGCTCACCCACCCAGGAATGAACACTCACCCACCCGGCAATGAACGCTCACCCACCCGGGAATGCCGCCAGCCTCCATCTTGTTGGCGAGGGTGACGTCGGTGGACCAGACGTCGTACTGCCAGCGCTTCTGGCCCAGCACCCCGCCCAGCACCGTCCATCCCTCCCATCCCGCCATTCCCTGTGGGAATGCTCACCCACCCAGCCCCGTCCATCCCACCATTCCCTGTGGGAATGCTCCCTCACCCGGGAATGCTGCCGGCCTCCATCTTGTTGGCGAGGGTGACGTCGGTGGACCAGACGTCGTACTGCCAGCGCTTCTGGCCCAGCACCCCGCCCAGCACGGTCCCGCTGTGCACCCCCACGCGCATGTCCACCCCCGTCCGCGTCTTCTCCCGCACGTACCTGGCACGGGGGGACACGGGAGGGGACACGGGGACCCGGGGAGGGGGGTGGGAACATGGGCGGGAATGAGGGGAAGGGGATGGGAATGAGGGGAAGGGGGTGGGAACATGGGTGGGAACAGGGGGATGTGGTGGGAATGAGGGGAAGGTGGGTGGGAACATGGATGGGAACATGGTGGGAATGAGGGGAAGGGGGAAGGGGACGAGTAATAACGTGGGTGGGAACATGGGGATATGGTGGGAATGTGGGGAAGGGGGAAGGGAACAAGGGGGAGGGAATGAGGGGAAGTTGGAAGGGAACAAGGAGAATATGGGTGGGAACACGGGGAACGTGGTGGGAATGAGGGGAAGGGGGAAGGGAACAGGGGTGGGAACATGGGAATGTGGTGGGAATGAGGGGAAGGGGATGGGAACATGGGTGGGAACATGGGGACACGGTGGGAATGAGGGGAAGGAGGAAGGGAATATGGTTGGGAACATGGTGGGAATGAGGGGAAGGTGGGTGGGAATGAGGGGAAGGGAATGAGGGGAAGTTGGAAGGGAACAAGGAGAATATGGGTGGGAACACGGGGAACATGGTGGGAATGAGGGGAAGGGGGGAGAGAGCCAGGGGAAGGGGAAAGGGAATAAGGGGAAGGTGGATGGGAACATGAGGAATGTGGGTGGGAACACAGGGACATGGTGGGAATGAGGAGAAGGTGGGTGGGAATGAGGGGACATGGTGGGAATGAGGGGACATGGTGGGAATGAGGAGAAGGTGGAAGAGAATGAGGGGAGGGTGGAAGGGAACGAGGGGAGGGTGGATGGGAATGAGGAGAACATGGGTGGGAACACGGGAACATGGTGGGAATGAGGGGAAGGGGGAAGGGAACGAGGAGAAGGTGGAAGAGAATAAGGGGAGGGTGAAAGGAAACAAGGAGAAGGTGGAAAGGAATGAGGAGAAGGTGGAAGGGAAGACAGGGAACACAGTGGGAATGAGGAGCAGCCACAGCTTCCCTGGGAATTCCAGTCCAGCCCCTCCCCACCCTTCCAGCCGGGAATCCCTTCCCAATCTCCCCCCTCCATCCAGCAGATGGAATTTGGGGCTGGGAGCTGCCCTTTCCCACCTCCCTCCCTCCAAATCCCCTCCTGCTGCAGCATCTTCTCACTTTTTACCCCCTGATCCAAACCCCAAACAAATCCCAATCCCATCCCCTTCCCTGCTGGAATCGCAGCTGGGAGTGACTTTTTTTTTTGTTGTTGTTGTTTTCCTGGATAAATTAAATTTTCCGGACAGGAACGTCAACACCGGGAATCCTTGGCCATGGATTGATTATCCCAGCTGGGAATGAGCAGCTCCACCTTCCGTGATCCCGCTTTTTATCCCCTTAATCCCCCCATCTCCTCCCCGAGCTGCATCCCAGGACCTCCCACCCGGCCTCCTGCCGTTCCCAACATTCCCAGCATTCCCGAAATTCCCGTTTTTCCTCACGAGATGGCCTCCACCATGGCCAGCCCCATCATGATGGAGCAGACGGCGTGGTCCTCCCGGAATTCGGGCAGCCCGCAGATGCAGTAGTAGCAGTCGCCCAGGATCTTGATCCGCAGCTGGTGGTGTCTCTGGGAAGCGGGAATTCCCAGGATTACCTCGGATCCCTCTCCCCTGGAGCCGCCTGGAGTCTCCCACACCCAGGGAAAAACAGGAATAATGGGAGTTTCTGGAGTTTCCCACATCCAGGGAAAAACAGGAACAATGGGAGTTTCCAGGGTTTCCCACTTCCAGAGGACACGGAAATAATGGGAGTTTCTGGATCCACCTGGAGTCTCCCACATCCAGGGAAAAACAGGAATAATGGGAGTTTCTGGAGTTTCCCACATCCAGGGAAAAAACAGGAATAATAGGAGTTTACAGAGTCTCCCCTGGATCCACCTGGAGTCTCCCAGATCCAGGGAAAAACAGGAATAATGGGAGTCTCCCACATCCAGGGGAGAACAGGAATAACGGGAGTTTCCATTTCCTCTCTGCTTTTCCCAGGAGTTTGGCTCCATCCCAAGTTCTCCCTTTCCCAAATCCTTCCTTTCCCCAACATTCCCAACCCCCTCCTTTCCCAACCCCCTCCTTCCCCAGCATTCCCAATCCATCCTTTCCCAAGCACTTCCTTCCCCAGCATTCCCAATCCATCCTTTCCCAAGCACCTCCTTTCCCAACAATCCCAACCTGATCCTTTCCCAACATTCCCAACCCTTCCTTCCCAATCCCCTCATTCTCCGACATCCCCAATCCCCTCCTTGCCCAACATTCCCAACCCCTCCTTCCCCAGCATTCCCAACTCCCCTCCAT